TAGGAGCATCAACTCATACATAACATGCATAAAATATAGATATGTTGCTATTGAAATTTTGAATCATAAAAAGAATGCTTTACTAATCAAATTATTCAAAAGCATGTTACAAAAATATGAGTTAAGTACGTGGTTCATTGATAGAAATACTAAATGATTGCAATTCTACTTGAAATGACTTATAGGCTTAACTGGTTTGATTATGCAGAAGAGTGCACCTACCAACGAGGTTACATCATTCTAACCTAGTACAAATGTCCTTAAATGAGAAATTCTACATAGACACAATTAAGAATTTAATTTATTATAATCATTAGATTAATTGTGAATTTTCAAATTTGATGGAGCCTACTTTTAATATATCAATTACAATTAATTAGATCATTAAGTTAAATATATTTATATTTATAGTTTTTCAAACTCCTAAGATTTAGGAGTTTTTAATTTTTAATTTTATTTCACTTCTAAAAGGAAAGGATAATATGGTAAAATTGATAAAAAATGAACTTTATAACAAATAAATTTTTTTGATAAACTTAAGTCCATATAAGGGATCGTCCTCCAAATTTCTCTAAATTCAAACTAGTTAAGCCTAATGCCCATGTAACTTGAAATATGTACGGACCAGCCTAATGCCCATGTAATTTACGGAGCATAGGCCCAGACGTCCATAGCGGGCCAGAGCCTGTTCGGATCAGTCAATAGCTTTTGGCAGATCAGGGCCAGCTTTCGGTTCGTCAGCCAGTGAACAGGTTGGGCATGGCCCAGCCAGAACCTAAAAACATGCGACCTATTGAACCGATCTTAATGGCCTATTCTCTTTTTTAAATTACACGAAATTTACTTTCATTTTTTAAAAATTTTAGAGTTTTTTAGAGTTCGATCACTAGGATTAATAGGATTGTAAAAAAAATCTAATCATTAATTTTCTTTTGAATTATATCCCTGTTAAAATTCTAAATAATAGTCAAAACTAATGCTATTAAATAATATAAAAATAACAACAATGTCATTACGTAATTAAAACATCTATTCTAAAAAATTACATTAAAAAAATGACATGTTCTTGACTAACTGATAGTTTAAAAATACATTAAGTTACATTTATTAATAGCAGCTATACTTAGTTTATCTTTACAACAAGGCTGTTTGTTTGAGGGATAAGGGGGTGGTATAAGGAAAATAGTACGTGGAGCTTACCTTAAACCTTATTTGTTTGGCATTTTTTACTAGGTACTAATTTTCGGGTCATAGTACCGATCCGGTGTGAACAATAACACTAATGTCTTCTACACGGTGCTATTCAATACCACCTAACTGGTGGTATAATATTCTTGGTATAAATAAATTGAGATATAATAAATTAAAAAGACCGAAATGCCCTCAGGTACAATGCTCATATAAAAGTCTAGTTGCAATTTTTGACTTTTTAAGGTTAAAATTGTCTTTTTACATTAGTTAGCCGTAATTGTTAATTTTTTTAAGTAAGTATTACACAGATAATGTTTGTGACAAACAAACAAGGGGAATGATGAGATTATAGTTTAAGACCGAGTATAATATACTATTGAATCGGAGTGGAATGAATATAAAATCTTATACCACCTAAATCTTATACTCAAAATAAACGGCCCCCCAGATACATTGAGACTAGACAATTGGACATATATCTCTTCGATTAGCTATGAAATTAATACCATAATTGATGAGCCTAGATCCAACTAGGTCAAGCCCAATTCATGGAGTAAACCCAAATTAGTTACAAAGCAGGTCAAGTCCAGCTCTTGGATTCGGCCCAGTCTAAAGTTCAAGAAGTTCAGGAAGATCAACGCATGTGGAGAGTAATTACTAGGATAACCATTCTCGAAGATCAAGAATATACTTAATTGTACCTATCCTTAACTGTAGCTATACACACCAAATGACTAGTCACCTATCCCTTCATACCATCGCCTCAGTTAAGACTTTGTGCCTATATATTGTAAGCTCTCTACACATGAGGGAGAAAATTTTTATACAACTATCACTCTTATAACTGCCTCACCACTCTTATAACTGTCTCACCTTACTTAGAATTTACTATTGATCTCTCTCTCTCTCTCACCTTCTACTTTATTAATAAAGTTTTTCGGTCACCATTGCCAACCTCAAACCTCAAAGTGGAGTAGATGACTGAACCACTCCATATTTTTGTGTTACTTGTGTTGATCTCATTTTTATATTTATAACATTTATTACTTATATTAATTACTCAACAGGTTGTGCATAAATCTAATTTTATGCATCATCAATAATAACATATACATTTAAACCTCTTACATTTACACCATCGAAAATACCTCTATAAATAATGTATCTGAAATTCAGAACAAAAACACAAAAAAAAAAAAAAAAATAGAACAATCAACGCAATAAAGAACACAAACTATCATACAAATGTTCTCAAACCTTTTGGATGACGGTCACGCAAAACAAGAGCGCATACAAGTTGTTATTGATCATCTTGAATTCGAACTCAACATGTCCAACAAAGAAAAAGACGGATGGAAGAAAATGGCGAAGTCCTTCAATAAAAAAGCCGCAAAAGGAGAAGAAGAAAATGATGCTTGAGGCAGAGTTCAAAGACCTCAAAAAATTAATAGGCCTGTTTTGTTTACGTTTCAAAAAATAGTATTCGAAAACAGTTTTTAAGAAGAGTTTTAAGAAAGTCATTTTCATATTTTTTGAGATAAAAAACTTGTTTGGTTAGATGATTTTAAAAATAATTTTATAATACAAAAAATAGTAAAACTTGTTTGGACAGCTTAAATATATATTTGAACAGTAATTCAAACATTAATAAAAAAAATATAAAAAAATTATTTTTAGATTGACAAATTCATAAAAAAAAATTCAATAAATCAAACTTTAAAATATATATATATATTGTTCTCCTTGTTTCCAAAATTTTCAAAGAAAATTCTGAAAACAAGTTACACTTGTTTTTTGTTTCTTTAACTCAAATCTCATTTTTTTCCCCCAAAATTTAGAGAACAAAAATGCTAAATAAACAGGTTTTGGATGTTTTTGAAATTTTGAGAACAAAAAACTGTTTCTGAGATGATAACCAAACGTGGCCAATGTTTTTCTATTTTTTTAATAAATATAAAATAAATGAACAATATATGTAATCTCTCCTTATTAATGAAATATAATATTTAATTTATAATTTGTGTACCTATGATAATTTAATTTTGTGTACATGTACGATGAATAACATACGCGACTTTCCTTCATACTGAAGCAAGACTTTTTCCCCTCCATGATCAACGTCAATTGAGAGTATTAAAAAAAAAACACTATCCAAGACAACTAAGAGGTTTCCTTTTTGAATTCAAAGGTCCTACAAATTCAAAAATCAAATGTAGCATCTTTTTTATATTTTGAATATGCTATAATTAATTCATTTAAGGGGACAGATCCATGTCCCCCCTAAGGTGTAATTTTGAACTTAATAAAGGTACGCTAAAAAATAATAGGTACACAATAAAAAAAACATAAAAAATATCTGGTACGGAATAATTGTCAGGCAGGTACACTAATATACAGATTATCAAACAGATATACTAAAACATAGATTGTCAGACAGATATACTAAATTACTGATTGTTAATATACATTCTTCTCTATAAACACAGATCGTCAGACAAGTACATTAAAAAAACAAATGGTTAGACAGGTACATTAAAATATAAATTGTTAATATACCTTCTTCTCCATAAATATAAATCGTTATTCAAAACTAATTGGCAACGCAACAAAACATCAAAAACAAATGAAAAAAAAATAATAACTATATTTTAGGTTGAAAATATGTGATGAGGGCAAAATGGGTAACAAAATTATTAATTAACAAATCTTTTAACATTCGTGTCAACACAGGGATTACTTGCAAGTATTTTCAAAAACGGGAGGACCTTTTTTTTATACTAAAAAATTTGTTAGGATTAAAATAAAGTTACACACCAAAAGAGGGATTCTAGCCTAATTAACTAAAGATTTTAAGTTTCTTATTTTGTACTCTCAAAGATTAAAATTTTTATATTGCATCTTTAATAAATCAAAAGTTGTACAATGTGGCCCTTGTGTTAGCTTTTCGTTAGTATTTTTGTCAATGTCAATGAGTTGACTTTTGATAGAAAAAATAACGGAAGTTAACAGAAAGGTTAAATTGTAACACTTTTGATATATAAAATGTGCAATATGAGGAATTTAATCTTTGAGAATATAAAGTGGCACACTTCAAATCTTTTAGGGTGCAAAGTGCGAAAAATCCTTTTAAATTTGACCCATTTTTTATTTTTATTTCTGAATTTTTTCAATATTAATTGTGTCAAATTGGACATTTTTGTTTAAAGTTAACCCACTATCATTCAAATAATAACAATGACAATAATTAGATTATGAAATTAGATTCAAATTTCGTTACTGTATTTAGTTTTTGGGTTTTAGTTCCTTGTCAAAAATGCATTAGACAACTGAGTGTAAAGGGCATGCAGACATGCTTGTGAGAACCCGATTGCTCCAAGGCCAACCCTTTTGCATTACTGAAGGATTTTACGTGTCGATCGTTGGAGAAAATCTTTTGGGCACCCAACAATTATCCAATAAGATCAAGAATGTTATTAGCTAATTGCATGCAATCAGTAATTTTGTTGCAGCCATGAGTCCAAATAATGTGTGTGGACGATTCCCATTATCAAAAACAAAACCCAAAAAACGAAAAAAATTGAAAGATGCACAATAAATATACATACTGCCAACTTTCATATTGCATAGAACTTGAGTTTCTACACAAACTATGGGTACAAAAAGAGCAGATAGAGAAGGTAGATATATATCTGATATTCTAACTGCTTCTCAAGGTTCAAAACCTCTCTCCTTCTACGAAAGGTTAAGGATGGAGGGTTTGGACCATGTGTATATATATATATATATATATATATATGTATATAAATGTGCTTACATAGGAACTGCAGTGTGATAAGACATCTATGTTACAAGTCTCCGGCCATAAAAAGGCAGCATTATTAGCAACTTTCCCCACCATTCACATGTTGTCTCACTCTGACTTGGGCTTCAGAGACTTCCCTTTGGAGGATGTTGATAACACTCTTGTGAATCTTCCCACAAATTTCAGAGTCTCATCAATCAAAATCACTGGGAAGGCAAAGGCCAAAACCAGGATCCATTCGTTGAGGCTGAGGGGGACTATGCCAAACATATGAGCAAGGAATGGCACATAAAGAATCAGAAAGTGCAAGCTGAATGAGATGAACATGGCCAAAAGGAGCCATGGATTCACCCATGGGGGCATCACCAAAAGGCTAGTGTCTTCAGAAAGGGCATTGAGAGAGTTGAACATTTCAATGGCAACCAACACAGAGAGGGAGAGTGTCGTGGCTTTCACTTTGCCACGCTTGAAGTAATCACAAGGGTTGTTATCGAACGAGAAGACCTGTGTCCCAGCTGTGAAAGGTGAAACAGTGAAGTTTTTCCAGGATGAACAGTGGCCCCAATCAGCTAGCTGGGAGTATGTGACTAGAGTGTGGCCATCCCCATTGAGGTCAAGGCCCAAGAATGAATCATGTGTGTACCAGATGATAAATACACCAACAGTTGCTATTCCAACATATAGCCCAATGACCTGAAAAGCACCATTACGTAACAAAATTAATGAACTTAATGAGAAACATGAAAGATGAAGAAAATTATGTAGTTGTAGTCTGAAAAATGATACTAGTATAGATTCTGCAGAACTATCGCACACGATCAAAATCAATTTCCAATGAGAGAATGATGTAACACAATACCAGATAGCGGAATAGAGTCCAAGTGTTGACGAGTGAATCATCACTTCGACGAGGGCGTTTCTTCATTATGCCCTCATCTGGCGGATTGAATCCCAAAGCTGTGGCTGGGGGTCCATCAGTGACAAGGTTGACCCACAGGAGCTGAACAGGAATGAGGCCTTCAGGAACTCCTAAAGCGGCTGTCAAAAATATAGAGGCCACTTCACCAATGTTTGAGGAGATCATGTACCTGCAACAGGGCATAGCCATGGTATTATCAGTTCATTGATCATTTGTGCATGAGGGTGGACTAAGGACCACCCTACTTTCAACATTTAAGAAACTGTAAATGGTTTGGTTTCATTCTAGTTTAACAATCCAAGGCCCTTACAATTTTCATTTAAGTGCAGCTATTGTCATTTCTTGATCCTTATTTCACAACAACCAGCTAATCATACCAAGATTCAATTCTTAATGTATCATTGAACTTTTCCGTCAGCAAAATTGGCAGAGTGTTATGGAGGGGGTGAAACCTGATAAAAGCCTTCATGTTGTTGTAAATAGATCGCCCTTCACCAATAGCAGCAACAATTGTGCTAAAATTATCATCAGCCAACACCATATCAGAAGCTTCCTTAGCTACCTGGAAAGTAAAAGTTATATTGAGAGAATATTCAAGGTCAAGATACACAACAACAATATTCAGGGCATAGAATTGGTAATAGACAGACCAAAAACCACGAACATGACTATTAAGCTAAAGACATAAATTTAGAGAGCAAGAAAAAACAGACCTCTGTGCCAGCAATGCCCATAGCAATACCAATGTCAGCTAGTTTCAATGCAGGTGCATCGTTTACTCCATCACCAGTCATGGCAACCACCTCTCCATCTTCTTTAAGCAACCTCACTATCTCTTGTTTATGCCTCGGTTCAGCTCTAGAAAATAAAAGCCCACCACTTTGTCTAAAATGCGATTTTTGATCATGAAGTTCCATAAACTCTCTACCTGTTAAGCTTTTCGAGTTAATGTTTTCTTCAGGTCCAAATACACCAATTTCGCGGCATATAGCTTCTGCTGTATTCTTGTTGTCTCCTGTAATAACCATAACACGGATACCTGCTGCTTTGCAGTCCTTGATTGCTTGGTAAACTTCTTCACGAGGAGGATCCTATGAAAGATTAGTCGATAGAAAGTCATTGTTACATAATCAAAAATCTTCTGGAGTGAATAAAATGGAAGAAAAATACAAGGTGTTGGACCTATAATACTAACCCTCAGCCCAACCAAGCCAACAAAGATAAGTTCAGTCTCAATCGATGAATAATTGGATGGTTCAAGTAGAAGCTTATGAGCTGGATGATCTTCATTGCCATCATAAGTTTCAAATTCAGGGAGCTCATCTTTGTACGCAAATCCCAAACAGCGCAAGGCACCTGTGGACATCTCCTTGAGGGCTTCCAAGATAAGGTTCTTCGAATTTTGATCCAATTTCACAACAGAACCGTCAAGCAACTGCATGGAGGAGCATCTCTCCAATAGATTTTCTACTGCACCCTGCCACCATGTGAGCATTTTACATAAGCAGTCTTTCTTAAAGTCTGCCCCATAAGCCCAGTCGATAGCTTGTACTTGATTAGAAGGATATAGGAATTGGACACCCCAGATATTGCCAGACAGACATGATGCATCTTATTGAAACACAGAATTCGGTGTGTTGGATGGGTTTAAGGTTGAGAGCAAGGTCAATGCTTTTTTTGCCTTAATTGATGAAATCTCATTTCATATTAGTTTTGAGAAAAATAGTGACATTAAAGTAGAAAAGCAAGTACTGGCACCCTTCAATATGCACACCTTTAGCAAAATCAAGTACTAAAGATATTTTCTTTGATCATACTATAGATCAAGGAACGGCACAATACAAGACTATATAAAATCCGGTACTACATAGCTTTTACGTCTCAAATTATTTCTATATAAACTTTCTATGGAATGTTGACTAGCCCCCCAAAGACAAAAACAAGAAAACAAAAAAAAATTCATTTTCAATCAAGTCATTCAGACCCTAACCAACATTTCAAACTACAAAACTCAGATCCCACCTTTCTCAACCCCAACCAACCCTGAGAGGGAAAAGCAAAAACTACTCAAGCCCCTCCATAATATGAATTGGGACCAAGGACATACATGTCCCAGTGCGCACACAATTGGAAAAATGTTGGTTGTTAGGAAAACAATGGCTGAGAGCAACTTAAAGAATTAGTTAAGTTGTTAATCCGTATATAAACAATGATATGACACATTTGGTAGGAACTTTCAGAAATAAATAAAATACATATCCAGACAACTTGAGAGGTATCACAGAGTATTATAGACAGTTTACCTTCACCAGCAAAGACCTCTTTCCTAATTGAGAGTTGACAATAACACCCATAGACTTCCTATCACGATCAAACTCAAGAGTTGCAATTCGGTGTTCAGTTTTACTCCATTGTTTGCAGCATCCTTAAACCACATAACAAAATTGAATCAAAGCATGTACAATTTTACTTTCTTATACTCAGAGAGATTTGTGAAAGTGAAAGAAACTATATGATGAATTATGTTTAACATACTTAATACATCACCGGGGCTCAAACATATTTGATCATCAGATTCTCCTGGCAGGCCCATTTTTTCAACCAGAACCTGAAATATGGATACAAAGTCAGAGGTTTAGCAATTAATTTGCCTAGCTTCTGCAGCAAAAATCCTAGCAATATCGACTAATATGAAACAAGGAAGAGGGAGTCGTTTTTCATGTTTATTGTCGCAGATAATGAAATCATTTAGAAGCAATGCTAATAATCATGGGTTTCTCTGTAATCGGTCGAATCAAATGGTTGAAATTTCTACAATATCATGATGTTCAGAAACAATAAAACATCTTATTTCTGATTGTGATCATTCATATTCTGTTTATTACCTCATTGATGTAATCAACATCTTGTAATCCAAAATCAGATACAGCAAATTAATAACTAGGAAAGAAAATGCAGGAAATGTATACCAAAGCATTGAATTCTCACCTTAAGAGCTGCTTCAGTTGGCATTCCACTGGCAACATACTTGTGTTCTGACTGAGCAACTCCAGCATCATTACACACAGCAGCTATTTTCGCAATCATTTGAAGATTAGCATCCATATCACCAACTGGCAATTCTTGAATTTTCCCATCTGTTGGATTATAAGTAGTCCCCTCCACCTTAAAACTCCGAACCTCATCAGCCGTAACACCCATGGCTACAAGCTTTGCCACTGCCATTTGATTAGTCGTCAAAGTACCCGTCTTATCAGAACAAATGACAGTAGTACAGCCCAGAGTCTCTACACTAGGCAATTTCCTCACAAGGGCATTCTTCTGTGCCATCTTTCTGGTGCCAAGTGCCAAACAGGTAGTGATCACTGCAGGCAAACCTTCTGGAATTGCAGCTACAGCCAGCGCAACTGCAATCTCAAAGTAATATGTACACTTCTCGAATGAGAACTTGAAATTACTCGGCCACCCATTTACATACTCCCAAGAAAAGAAGTACTTAATATTGATAATCCAGACCAAAGCACAAATCAAACCAATTATCTTGGTCAATAGGTCTCCAAACTCATTTAATTTCTTCTTCAATGGCGTATCTTCCTCACACAAAGCAGCCACATGGATTTGGGTGTGGACTTTCCCAATCTCCGTCGCCATTCCCGTTTGTGTCACCATGCAAATGCAGCTTCCATTGACCACCGTCGTGCTGGCAAACACCATACACCTTTTGCCCTGAATATCAGCATCTTCAGCCACCGTCTTGTTTGATTTATTCACAGCCTCACTCTCCCCTGTCAATGAACCCTGCTCCACCCTTAACGTAGAGCTTATCAATTGCAAAACCCTCATATCTGCTGGCACTTTATCACCAACTTTGAGCTCAACAATGTCACCAGGGACAAGCTCTTTCGCGGGTAAACAGAGAATTCTTTTGTTATCTCGAATAACATTCGCGTGATCCGATTGAATCTCCTTCAGAGCTTCTAATGCCTTTTCGGCATTGTTCTCTTGCCAGACTCCAACAATTGCATTCACAATCAAGATCAGAAATATCACCATTGGCTCCACGAACTTGGTGAATTCGTCACCTCCCTCTTCGCCATCATACCAAGCGAGCACGAAAGATATAATCGCAGCCACGAGGAGGATTTGAACAACAGTGTCTTTGAATTGATCGAGAATCAAATTCCAGAAAGATGGTCCTTCATGCTTGTCCAAATCATTGTCACCATAAATTTGGCGCTTTTTGATGACATCCCAGTGGCTCAATCCAGAAATTTTGTCGGTTTCATAGTGTTTTTCGCATTCTTGAACTTCTTTAGCCCAGGCAGGAAAGATGATTTCATTGATAGGAGCTCTTGGGCTTGGAAGATCTCTCTTGGCATAGTCTTGGCCACCTTTTCCCATATGAAAGAAGATGATGAAAACCCAAAAGAAACACAGAGAATTGGAAGCTTATATAAAAGAAATTACATTCACATAAAAGTGAGATTCAGAAGATGAAGTTGAAAAGCTCAAAGTCGAGCTTTCATGGAAGAAACACAGGACAACATGAAAAAAAACTCAACAGTGGAAAAGTGTTTTGGTTTTTTAATATGGGTTTTGGAATGAAGCCAGCTTCGAAGTCCTTGAGATTAAGTATGCGGGAGGAAAAGGTTGAAACAAAACAGAGGAAAGTTTCAATCAATCGATGGGACTAGACTTTGTGGGTTCATGAGAAATTACTCAGTCACAATCCCATATTTATACAATTATACGGTATCTCCCCCCTTCCCAAATCTTCATGTGATCATTCACTCTTTCGGTTTTGAAAACTATTTTCGGAAACTTCCTGGATCCATCCTGTTAGGAGAAACTTAGAGAGTTGGTAAAGGGTGTGATGTTATGAAGCACCAAGTGCAAGTATTTGGGTTTTCTTTGCATTTTTTTATTGACAAGTACCCTTTCTGGGTGGGGTGTCATTGGCTAGATCATCATCTTCATCAGTTTTCTCCTGGTGCAGAAATTCCATGGCTGAATCATCAACCTCGGAAAGGTATACTTTTTGTTTTATGGTTACCGCACCGCACAACCCAATACGTCATAGTTTTTGACAGGATAAATCGGAAAGTTACACCAAATTATACGCGTGTGTGTATATAAATAAGTATATATATATATATATATATATTAACAAATACACATGAATCAAAAGTGCATTAAATACGTATTTATATATATTAACAAACACGCATGAATCAAGGTGCATTAAAGATAAAAGATTTTAAATTAAATGACACATGAATTTATGTATTTTTTGTCAAATAAATTTAATTAGGTCTACCGACTAATAAATAACCCATTTTGATATATAAGATATGGGCGTGGGCTTATTAGCAAAGGCATAGCACAGCCGCCTTGGCAAATAAAAAAATAAAAATTACCGTACGAAAAATTATTTTTTTAAAAAAATTAAATTACATTTTTTAAAAGTGGAGCTATAAATGCGGCAAGTAGTTTGCCATCATCGTGAAATATTCTGATCAACCATGATTAAGATATACACGAGAGTACTCGTGACCAGGCCGCAAATAATTGTCAGAATTTAAATTTAAGAGGTTTGAATTTATAATTAACCTTTATTTTTGCTTGAGATACCCAAGGGATTAATCATGAATTATTTTTATCAATTGTATTTTCTCCTGTAACTTAAACTTTAAGAATAGTAATTTAATTTTTTAAAAATTATAATTTTTATATCGATCACAATATTTTACAATTAATCATGATTTTTAAAATTATGACTTATACCCTCAAAAAGTTTAACTCGACCTTAAAATATTGGAGCAATGGTATTAGAATATAATTTGTTGACCTAATTCACTATGATATTTTGATTGACTGTGGGACCCATCAAACATTAGGACTTGGTGTTGATCCAATGGTTCTACTAAAATCACATCATTATGTCAACAAATTATGTCAAATTTTTAGGTCCAAATAGTATTACTCAAAATATTGTAACTTTATTACAGGGTTGTTTCTAATTTTCAGATCCTTATTTATTTGCTTTGAGACAGGTTTGTTACTCCTTGTTGGTCTTGGTATTGTTCTCTAATTTTTCTTAAATTTCTATTTGGCATCAATTGAAATTCAGTAAAATTGATTTGTTAAAAGGAATAAATTATGTTTCCAATCTTGTATTTTCCAATCACTTCAAAAAAAAAAGAAGTTATAAACTCCACAATGCAAAACTACTAAAGAATGCAATGTTATTTTGCTCCCTTATAAATTTTAATATATTTATAATTAGGTCTGTCAATGAAGCGAATTTTAGTTCAAATTCAAATCCGTTCATCCAAATTTGAATTAAAATTTTAATCTATTAATCTGATCCAATCCCATATGACCTCCCGTCCACCCCCCACCCCCTTTTTTTCAAATTTTGTTATTGAATTAGGTGGATAAATGATGAAATTAAATTAGAATTAGTGAAATTGGGTGTTTTATTGATGAAAGTAAACTGACATTTAGTAATAATTTCGTAAATTTTTTTATTATTTGTAATCGAAATTCAATTTATTCGGATTATCAGATCAGATGCCCGATTATTAATAAATTCAAATTTGAATTATTATTTTAATATCTATCGAATTATCAGATTTANAGTATATATATATATATATATATATTAACAAATACACATGAATCAAAAGTGCATTAAATACGTATTTATATATATTAACAAACACGCATGAATCAAGGTGCATTAAAGATAAAAGATTTTAAATTAAATGACACATGAATTTATGTATTTTTTGTCAAATAAATTTAATTAGGTCTACCGACTAATAAATAACCCATTTTGATATATAAGATATGGGCGTGGGCTTATTAGCAAAGGCATAGCACAGCCGCCTTGGCAAATAAAAAAATAAAAATTACCGTACGAAAAATTATTTTTTTAAAAAAATTAAATTACATTTTTTAAAAGTGGAGCTATAAATGCGGCAAGTAGTTTGCCATCATCGTGAAATATTCTGATCAACCATGATTAAGATATACACGAGAGTACTCGTGACCAGGCCGCAAATAATTGTCAGAATTTAAATTTAAGAGGTTTGAATTTATAATTAACCTTTATTTTTGCTTGAGATACCCAAGGGATTAATCATGAATTATTTTTATCAATTGTATTTTCTCCTGTAACTTAAACTTTAAGAATAGTAATTTAATTTTTTAAAAATTATAATTTTTATATCGATCACAATATTTTACAATTAATCATGATTTTTAAAATTATGACTTATACCCTCAAAAAGTTTAACTCGACCTTAAAATATTGGAGCAATGGTATTAGAATATAATTTGTTGACCTAATTCACTATGATATTTTGATTGACTGTGGGACCCATCAAACATTAGGACTTGGTGTTGATCCAATGGTTCTACTAAAATCACATCATTATGTCAACAAATTATGTCAAATTTTTAGGTCCAAATAGTATTACTCAAAATATTGTAACTTTATTACAGGGTTGTTTCTAATTTTCAGATCCTTATTTATTTGCTTTGAGACAGGTTTGTTACTCCTTGTTGGTCTTGGTATTGTTCTCTAATTTTTCTTAAATTTCTATTTGGCATCAATTGAAATTCAGTAAAATTGATTTGTTAAAAGGAATAAATTATGTTTCCAATCTTGTATTTTCCAATCACTTCAAAAAAAAAAGAAGTTATAAACTCCACAATGCAAAACTACTAAAGAATGCAATGTTATTTTGCTCCCTTATAAATTTTAATATATTTATAATTAGGTCTGTCAATGAAGCGAATTTTAGTTCAAATTCAAATCCGTTCATCCAAATTTGAATTAAAATTTTAATCTATTAATCTGATCCAATCCCATATGACCTCCCGTCCACCCCCCACCCCCTTTTTTTCAAATTTTGTTATTGAATTAGGTGGATAAATGATGAAATTAAATTAGAATTAGTGAAATTGGGTGTTTTATTGATGAAAGTAAACTGACATTTAGTAATAATTTCGTAAATTTTTTTATTATTTGTAATCGAAATTCAATTTATTCGGATTATCAGATCAGATGCCCGATTATTAATAAATTCAAATTTGAATTATTATTTTAATATCTATCGAATTATCAGATTTAGTTCAAGCTTGATTTTTTCAAACGAAATTGAATTCAAATTTATCGAAATCCGATCTAAATCAAATCCGTTGACATGCTTAATTACAACGGTTAGACCATTTGATTTTCTTTAAATATATCATAATGTAATCAAATCTGTCATGAACTGGTGATGTGTTTGTAATGGCTGTACATTTGATGAGGAGAGAGAATGAGAGTTTGAGAAGTGCAGAGATCAGAAGGAACTGGAACTTGGAACAGTTTGACTTTTGAGTTTGGGGAATATCCATCTGAATAGAATAGGTGATATCTAAAAGTGTTCACAAATTATTAAAAGGGCTCGCGTGCTGGCAATTCAGTATTAAAATTCAGTTATTAATGCAATAAGATTAAGAGCTACAACTAAGCATATTTGGTGTTATGACCTTCCACATTTTAGTTATTAACTAGGTAGGGCTGATATCACTTTCTTTTTTTTTTTTTTTGGGAATATTTTAAAATTATTGAATAACCTTGTACTCTCTAAAGCATTTTTAAACTTGGAGTCGTCTAGGATACCCAAAAAAAAAAAAAATTAGTATCATATCTCTATTTACCACATTTATAGTACCCAAAAAAATTATAAAAATAAGCATCACAACAGTAGTAAAAACACCTACAAAAATAATAAAATGATTCACAAAAGTTATAAAAACTTTCATTGAAGTAATAAAATTTGGATGTACAGTACCAAAATTTTTTTATTGGTACCAAAATCAAATTGTTTAAAATTTTTATTTTATTCTTGAAATATTGAAAATCTTAAATCGTATCACTGAATTTCTATATTATTTTTTTAGTACAATTACTAGATATGTGGATAAATTATCCCACATATTCATCAGGGGGCAATATCCCTCAACACTATACTGTTAGTTACAGGAGGCCCCCCTGCACCTAAGTCACGACTAAAACTAAAGTCCCGCCACATACTTTGAAATTAAAGAATATGTTTAGCCCACCTATCAACTACTTAATTTGTACTAATGAGTTTCTTTATACTAAAGCAATATGCCCCTATGTTACCCTTCTTCACAAACTTGGTTTTATGTTTGGGGCAAAAAGAGTATATTGCTTGCATTTAAAAAAAAAAAAAAATCAACATAAAGAGTAAGATTTTTTATTTTTGAATGGAAAAAATAAAAACTTAATATCTTTCATACACATAGTTTCACTAGCACTTTTAATGTGTGATTTGTATACAACAAGATTAAAAAATGATAGCAATGTTTTATATTTTTTTATGTTAACAGCCGATGTGCAAGGTATGTTGTTGAATAAATCAGCAATACACCTATTAAAAAAATAATAGCAACAGACTTTGAGGGAAAAATATTCAAAAAAAAAATAGTTTGAAAGCTCCTGGCAACATCGCACATACATACATTATTACACAATAAGACGAGCATGATTA